GCAGTCCGCTTTGGTCGGACCTGGTGGAGGAAACAAGGATGGAGAACTGAGATAGAGAGTTCCATGTGGAACTCCATGTCTCTCCATGTGGAACTTATACGATATAGGTCGAGATCATGCATTGCGCATCACCAATCATCACCACATTGCGCATTTGCGCAAGCGCCAATGCTGATGCCGGCACCAGAACATGTTCTCTTTTTGCTGGCACTGTGCATGGGCGTGATGGGTGGTCGAGTCCTGGTTCCTATTTCTTGTTCCGAGGTTCCACATAAAAGTTGCCTAACGGTTAGACCCCTGAGCGTTTCCATGACCTCGGACTTCACTGACTTCACCGACTTCACCATTCGAGTTCTTGCCTGATTTGACCTTTGTGATCTGACACTCGCATATCAACCAATTTGCACCAAATGTTTTGAAGGTGTTGAGGTGCAACATGTCATCAAACGCCAGAAATGGATGTTCTAGAAGGCGAAGGCTGATCTCGAGCAACAGCTGGGACCGGTCAGATCATGTTGGAGACCCGTTCAGTGCGACGAGGCTGGACGAGAAGCCTGGGCTTAGCAGGTGCCGGTCGGTTCGGCGGTCGCGACTTGCTCGGCATCGTGGCACGTGGCATGTCGCGGTCGCTGGGAGAGGAGAAGACCGGATGGAGAATCCACCGTCTGAAAAAAAAAAAGCCGCATCCACCGGATCCATATCAGCACCCTCCAACAGGTCTCCGAAATGGAGGCTTTTGTAGACTTAAAAGTCGCAGGTGGTGACCTGTTGGAGGATCCTGGTAGTGAATTCGTAGCGCATCCCCAGGCCTTTCTCTTGGAAAGAAAGCCAGATGCAGACGAGCTGGCAAGGCATAGGAAGGCAACATGTTCAACGAGGGAGAAGTTGGCGGTTACTGACACTCCCAAAAAACTCATATTGAACCGAAAGACATGTCGCCATCAAGAAGTTGTTTGGCTTCTTGCTGTGCCCTCTGCTGGGGGCCTTTCGGGGGCCACCTGAGAGAAATGCAGTTTAAGGTTTTGTGACTTCGATAGTGAACACTTCCTAAAGGATGCAGAGGAGAACAGGGGACATCCGGAACGACGACTGCCTATAGGGATTCATCCTCCAATTGGTGGGTGTTTTGGTGGTCGAAACTGGGTCAATGGGCCTTCCAGATCCACTCTGGCCATGGTCAATTGGTTCTTACCCTCCCCCCAGGGCATACGGAGGAGGAGATCCAGAAGCACTTCTCGGACTCATCAATGACTCCCCGATCCACAAGCGCTTCTCTTGGCTAGGCCGTGCTGTGAGGACGTGCTGGCTGTGAGTCAGAGGACGTGCCGGGCCTGTGTCCGGTTTCGACCTCCCACTGGATCTGACGAGTCGGTGACGAGCGCATTTGCGCCGAGAACGGTGTGAAGAACGCTGTTCATGAACGGTGGTTGTTAAACTGGTTGAAGATTGAAACCAGGGCGGAACCGGTAGAGACAGCAGAATGAATTCACAAGGACCTGGTTGGGCTTCCCATCACAGATTGGATCATCTTACTCGGCTGCTGATTTTAGGATGGCTCGGCACACGACCTGGTCCTGTATAGTGGGGACGTGACCTCCAAAAATCCTCCAAAACACATGTCAGCATCCAGAAATCCTCGTTGGTTTGTTCTTCTCCTCTGCAAGTATCTGCTAAGCATGGAAGGCTCTCGGCGATCGCTTCTGAAAAACCCAGCCGCTTATTCCAGCCATCGATGATCATCAGATCTAGCTGGGAGCGGAAAAAGATTTGGGCGGTGGATCCCCAGCTTCTCCAACCCCCGTGCCGTCAACATCTCCATGATGAACACATGCTGCTGTACTGTCACACTGCGGTGCCGCTTGCACACCAGGTTGGAGGAGTAATGGATCGCCAAGACCTGCTGGTCACGAAAAGGTATTTCTTTTGAACCAAGTTTCTAGAAGAACTTGAACAGACGATTTCAGCTGCTGCGCGCCAACCACTCGTTTCCCGAGGCAGCTGCTGCGGAACCGCGCCACCATTTTTTCGATCAGCGAGCTGGACCGGCGAGCGGAAAGAAGATCGAAGGGAACGGGCGGGGGAGGGAGAAGAGCCAAAGGTGAGAACGCCTAGCCACGATCGGTACCCCCCCCTCCTAGAAGATCGGGCGATATCGGAAGGTTTGGGACAGTGTGGGCCAAATTTCATGTGGAAAACGAATTGGTCCACACTGCCCTGCCTCCCGTGCTCCGATTTCCACCACACGCATCCACACGCGTGCGACGTGTCCGGGTCGTGGAGGTGTTTGCACCCACTTAGTGCACCCGGAACTCCTCCAACTAAGCCTAGCTGGGTCTCTTTGGAAGAGCTATGAAGTACAGACCTGGTCTAATCAGTTATATATCTCTAAGCACCCGTGGCCACCTCCCAAGCAGGTGGATATGTTTTTCACGCAGGTGGTCACTTGGACGTCCAATTTGCCCTCCAAGGCTCTTGGCGTGAAGAGCTGACCGCCGCACAAGCAGCCCTGGTGGACGAGAGGCCCGGTGAGAGTCTTTTTGAGGCCTGACATTGAAGTGAAACAAACTCTTCAGACTATCAAAGGATGAAAGACAAAAGTCACCCATCTCAACCCACATGGACCAAGATTGTCTCAGAAAGAAAGGCCCACGAAGAGCTAGCTCTGATGATTGGAATGAACAGATGATAAGACTCAACCTGAAATTTGGTCTCAATAGACTCCGCTTGTTACACTTGGAATCCATGGGAATTTCAGCTACTTAACTACATGCAGAAAGGAAGCCCTAAGGAGGTCGCATCCAGCAGTGGGATGCCCTCTCTCTTCACCGGCAGCGCTCCCTACAGGCTTCGTACTGCCCTGGGTCGCGAGATGCGCCAAGGCCTGCTGCTAGGTACGGTGCTTGCTTAGGATTTGAACGTGCTTTTCACAACACCGGTGTGAAGATCGGAATCTCAAGTCAACACACGCTTGAAGGTGGTTGATGGTGCTTCAAAAAATGTCACCTGCCAGGGTGTGATGTCATGAATGCAACCTCCCGCAAGGAATAAAGAGTCGATGACAGTTACCCGAACGTAAATAGAATCTCAACGGCCCTTTATCTAGAATACATCTTGTGCTGAGCATATAGCATATATATTTCTTCTTGTCTGCCGACTTGTGCATGAAAAGCTCATGTTGGAGACTCAATTTCAACAACATGTAAGACCTCCACCTTCCCAACAGAAGGAGCAGGTCTCTTGGCATTGTTGACAGTGGTGTTGTGAAGACAAGTTCAACTATTCACCAAGGGTTCTTGCCCAGATCCTTACTGCAACTGGAAACTGTTTGTATCCAAAAGTGGTTGGTTTTTATGAGGAAGATCCTTGACCAATCTTAACACATTTGTTTTTCTGGTGTCTCATCATTGGATTCTCCTTGAATGAGCCGGATAGCTGTGGGCCCCATGTTTGGATTCATTGGATTTGTCCAAAGATTCTTACAGGTAATGTCACATTGGAACAGAACATGAACACAAATGGCTTCTAGATGCTTCTAGCAGCTAGCATCTTCTAGCCCCAAGCTGGTTGTTGAATATGGCCCGCATTCAAAGAGATGTCCATCGGTTTCCTGGTTTCCAGTACTTGTTTTTGGTGATCCCGTCATTCTTTCCTGTTCACCTTCGAGTGGGTGGTGCACAGTGAAAACAAACTTCTTCCCGAACGACGCCGCACGTGGGTTTCGGATTGGTCCCCCAATCAACGAGACGCCTTTCCCATATGGACTGCTCAAGTCAACCTGCTAACTTGAACGTCTTCAAGCGGGGGTCATTCCACACCCACACCATGGCCCCACCGCAGCACCTCACTCCGCGCCGCCCGTGGCTGTTCGCCCCCGTTGCACCTGCCCCTCGCACCGCCCGCGGCGTTCGACCGGCGCCACGGCAGGTCTTCGGATCGCCGAGTGACGCGCGTGGCCGAGACCGGGGACCGAAGAGCCGGGAGAACCGGCGGAAAAGACACTCCGGGCGGTTGTGGACGCTGTGGAACAGCCAAAGAACATAAGTGAAAGAAGTGGATGTCCAATATTCACTGTTGCTCTTACTTTTGACCTGAGTGTCCAGTTGAACGTGATGAAGATGTATTGGACATAGGGACTGGGGGTTTAGTTCGAAGCTCATCGGAAGGACCCAGCTATACCAAGGTTCGAGTTGCCCAGCATGGGAGGTTACTTCCCACCTCATCAAGGTAGAAATGAAATGCTTGTGATTCAATTCAGTACCAGATTCCAACGACTCAAGAGGCTGCGAAGCTGCTTCATCTTCGCGAAGATGCAAGAGTTGCAGGAAGTTCCAAGAGATTCCAATGGCCTCCATGAATCCCAAAACGCCGCTAGCCATCGGAGTTCCGCACAGATTGTGTCGAGCTGTGAGCTTGGCAACGATTGTGTCGATGGCGTTCTTCGGCTCCAAGCTTTGATGTCATTGTGACACAAGGGTGGCTGTTGGGTTCGGCGTTTGAGCCCACACGCGGGACTAGTGATCTCACATTGTGCGAAGGGGTGATGCAGCGCAAGAGCGGGAACAAGCCCAGCAAAGGACGTCCTTGAAGCAAAGCCAAGTTATGTGATGTTGGTTTGTATGATGGTGACCCATTTAGCTTACCAGTCGTCGTCCGCCTTCAAACATGCTATCTTGAACAGCTACAGCTACAGCTTCAGTTGGACAGTTGCGCCGTATCTTGACAAACATCTCAGCTCACCCTACGACCTCTCCCAAACCTCATCCGGAAATCAGGACACGGAGCGGTGGTTTATTTCTGAATATATTGACTCAATGAACCAACAGCAGTGAAGCACAACATAGTACAATATAGTCTTCAAGACCCAGATCCATGTTGGAAAGGATCTGGATAGGGTTGGAATTGATTTGAGACCAATTGAACATAGTTAAACCATGGCTCTACCCGGTGCTTGGGCAAGCTTTCCATACCCAACGTGACACAATAACCAAAGTTCCTCAGACTGCGAACTAAAGACTCTATAGGTCATACTCCTTCCACTGCGCTGTGCCGCGTCCCAGCTTTTGGTCGGGACCATGGATCAGCTGATGATCAGCGCTTCAGAAAGCGCTTCGCCTCACGACCACGCGCGGCGATGATGCCATTATGGAGCCCGTGGCATGTGAGGATGGAGCTGAGGTCATCAAGGACCTCTACCTCCAGTGGGGTCCTCAGCTCACTATTGGTGTTGGTGTTACGGCCCTCCTGGGCTCACGGGTTTTTGGGTAAAATAGTTTCCCGGGGGTTGTTTGTGCTGGAGCCTGAGACACAGAGAGAGAGGGAAAGAGACAGAGACGAGAGCGCGCGGGAGAGAGGGAGCAAGTAAGTATAGCTCGTTTTGAACAGGTCGGGGTCCTCAGCTTTTCTTTGAAGAGGCAAATCGGTTAGGCCGCCGACTTAATTCGACATGAACACAGACATAACTTGTTGGCACCCCCCTCAAGTTGTGGGCCCACAGAGGGCTTCCCAAAACAGTGAACTCCCGCTTGGCCGCTTTTTTTCAGGCAGGCATCGGCCGCCGCAGAGCTCACGAGCCTCCGTGCCTGGGCAGCACTGGGTAAAGAGAGCAGAACTGCTCGTGGGAAACGGTTGGGACATGGAACGAGTCGATAGGGGAGAACTGGCGAACCTGGGTCGCACGCACCTGGTGATGGACGAGCCAGGGCGAGCTACGGCTGGTCAGGACCCACCCACCAATCACCCACCCCCTTTTCGCCATGGGACAAGCCATGGCGAGCGAGCTACAGCCGGCCACATGGCGAACTCTGGAACAGAGTGATGGAGAGCGTGAGAGAGAGAGAGAGAGGAAAAACATAACGACATGAGGATGCGAAACGCCATGTTTTTCCTTGTGCTATGCGTACCCTGCAATTTTATGGAGCCGCCCTAAATCAACTCTTAGGTTGGTCTTCGGAAACTGGTCGGTCTTCCACGGGTGAATTCTGCGGGGGTCCATGGAAGCGTCTTTTCCGGGGGTGTATCATGAAAGATGCGTGACATCATTGTATTGGACCATGTGACCATATGACCAAGCAATAGTGTGTGGTCGCGGCGTGTTTAACTCTAAACTCCATTTGAACTCTCTACCGGAATCTGCTGCAGGGTGGACGACACTCTGGTGGACGACCCTTATAGAAGACCCTCTAGAACTGGCAGGATCTCACTTGGAAGCTTTTGAGCTTGATTCAGCCCTGAGAAATTCAATTTCTTCATAGTACCATCCTGAACGATCCTGTTTACCTCATTTTCGTTGTTTTGGATTCCTCGCACATTTTTGTACCATAGGCCGTAGGCAGTGCCGTAGGCCATCTCGGAACTCGCCAGTCAGTAATGTTAGCTTGTGAGGGATAGCTGTCGGGGGGCACCCCCATGCAGTTCCCACATGACGCCTCTTCCACCGAGGTTCCTCCTGGGCCTCCCTGGCGCGTCAGCTGCAGCCGCTGCTGCACCGGCTCCGGACATCCGCACAGCACGTGGACGCGGCGGCGGCGCGGCGGCAGGCGGCAGAGCTGGTGGAGCTCTTGCGGACGTGTGGCGGGCGGAGTCCCGGGGAGCAGCTCGAGGAGAGATGGCGATTTCGCCGGCAAGGCATATGTAATTATGGAAAGATCTTTGGTCAAAACGAGCATGAACAGGATCATACAGGATCAATGAATAGGTTTATAACGATCTGTTGAGGACCAGAAGGACTTCCCGAATTCTCAGGTTACGGTATTTTATGTTATAAGGCCAGGACCATGGGTTTCTCGGACATGCCTTTGGATTTGCACGGAGGAGGCGCAGAAGCGGGCAGAGGTGGCGACCAAAGAGTCTTGGATGTCCAATGGCCGATCCTTGCACGGGGGGCAAGCGTTCCACATAGACCGGAAATCATCCAACTGGTGTCTTAATGGAGGCCCCATGTAGACTCTTGATACAAAACCTTCCATGTGAAAGGGTTTTTGAAAAGGTGCAATCCAAACGGGGTTTTGCTAATTCATGGCTATTATATATTAATTCGTCCATTGATGACGTCTCATGATCTATTCGATGCACCAGTAGATGCCTTCCTTCAAAGCTTGACGCATATGTGAACGACTCCCGACTGGCCGACGACTCCCTAGCCGACGACCACACCATGCCGTTCCGCAGCCTTTGGCAGCGTTTCGCTTGGCTGCTCCGACCAGCGGCCGCGCTGAGGAGATGCTCCGGCAGGCAGAGAAACACGAGGAGCTCAGGAGCTCGTTGGAGGCGTTGAACGAAAGCAATCGGAGACTGTTGGAGCAATCGCGTTCCTTGGAGGTGAACTGGTTCCGATGGGCGGGTTCACCGGGTTCTGGTTCCCTCTCCCTCCCCTCCGCTTCGGCAGCACAAGCATTTGTATGTTTTTTTGTTGTGAGTGTGTGTGGTTTGCTGGGAACATGTGAAGCACTGGGGATGCTTAACATTCGGCTTTAAGTCAGATGATTCGTCAGATGGTCAAGATGTTGGGCCATGCCCCTCACATCACTCGCTATGTAATATGTTTTGGGTGGAGCCTTTCTGGATGAAGTTGGTGCAGCGGCATGGCGTCATGCTGAGCTCTCTTAGCCGTCAAAGATGTCTCGGATGGTCTTGGAGGGAAGCAGAGTCTCTTCAACATAAGTCATCCGCTTGGATCAGCGAATTGCCCGAACAAGCTCAAACATCCGACGTCTTGACCGCTCCACACTGCTAATGCCATATGTTTTGCAGGTTCGACTTGACATCCGAAGCAGTGATCCTTCAGGTTGAAGCCCCCATGGGTTCATGTTTGTTCATTCTCTTCCGCTTTTCCACCTTTCGCCCCCAAAATGCCCTTCCCACCCACCCCACGGAGTCAGGCTTCCAGCGCGACGAGATCGATGCCCTGCAGCACCGCACCAGCGCCGAGCAGCGCCGCGCGCAGCTCGTCGCGCTGCGCCACGCGGAGCAGCGCGACGCGGCGGGGGCCGCGCGCGCGGCGCAGGGGGCGGCGATGAAGGCGCAGGCCATGGAGCAGCAGAGGAACGCGCTGGGGCGGATGGAGAGCTGCAGGCCTAGGGCGCTTGGGGATGGACCGAAGCTTTGGACACTGGGAGATGGTGAAGATGTGAAGATGGAGATTCGATGGATGTTTCATGTTTCCTTGACCGTCCTCGACCTTTGGAATATCGAGGGCCATTGTTGTGTTCTAGTTGCCGACCGTTAAGGGCACTCACCCACTCAGGAATTGGAGTGAAATTAGAGTGTCAAATTCAAACGAAGACAAGAAGTCCAGCCTGATATGAACACCGCGCATATACTCCCGGATGTCCCAACTATAATCAACATGCAATTGCCGTCGCAAAGATAATGCAGCAACGGCGGCATATATATGTTCACTTGGAACATCTTGGAACTATAGCGCCGCTATAGTTTTTGTTTTTGTTTTTTCTCCAGGGGGGTTCTATGTTCACAAGCCTCCATATGGCATGCGGATTTTTTCTTGGTGCCCATCCCCTCAGCAACATCAAAAAGATGCTGTGACAACCACTCGCCACCACCTTCGCGAGCGAGAGCGCTGCGACAGGCAAGACGTGGTGTCCTCCGCCCGGAAGCAGTTGCAGGCCCCTTCAAGATCTTCAAGGGTGCTTTGCCCAGAAACTTCCCTGCTGAGCCCTACAGAGGTAAGAACATTCCGTGCATCACAAGCGGCAGCGCGTCACAGATTTCGTAATCCTTTCGGGGCCAGGCCATTTCCGGTTTCCCTATAGGGATCCACTGCCACCGTACCTCAGGTTCGGTACGACTGGGCCATCCACGCCTACCTACCTTCTCCTATATAGTCTCCTTCCTCACCTTCACAGGTTCGTGGGATCCACGAAAAAAATCCAAGTCTCTAGGCGACCGCCTCCCGCTTCTCGCGCCGCGCCGAAAGAGGCGGTCGCTGGTCTCCGCGCAGAGCAACAACAACTGAGGCGAGTGCTTCGTGGGTGCGTGGTTCTAACCATAGACTCGACTGGAAAAGTCCCCTGGGTGGTGGGTCTTTCCATGTAACGAAGATCATCGCCACAGGTTCCCTTCACTGGCTGAACCACCGACTTCGCCACGACGAACGAGTCCGTGGTTGGACGCAGAACTCCGAACTTCGAATGAACACAACATCGGGCATTTTGCTCAGCATTTGCTGCAAAGAGGGGCCGGTGGGAACCACCCAAAAACACTGGGGCAGGCAGGGAACTTCATTACACTCCGAAGATGGAATAGGATAAAATAGGACAACACTTTCAAACATTGGATTAACAAAAGTCAACTAACTGTGGAAGTCCATGAAGTCCTTGTTGAATTCCAACGGACTTCGGTAATGAATTGGAGGGCACACTCATCCACATAATTCTCTTTGAGGCTGGTGAAAACCGTTTGTCTCCTTAAGCACACCAAGGCGAGATATGGTCAAATTCCAAGAGGAGATGAAGGCTGGCTATTCAGATTATCATTGGGAGTGAAGGACCCTGTTTGGCAAGGCAGAGCTTTGTTCAAACATGGTCAAATCTTAGGAACAGACTGTGGACAAAATCGCGAAGACACGGCTTTCTTTGCAAAGCAACCGTCTACGGTCTACAGCCATTTTTTTTGGTATGGCCAAGGGATCAGCCCAGTTCTTTGCACCAAGCAGGTAGTCAGGTAGCACAAAAGCAGATCTCAAGTTCACCTTGTTGGTGGACTTTTTGGGTAGACATGGGTTGCGCATGGGACTCTGTAGAAAATACAAGATGCCTTCAAACGTGTTCAAAACTCGAAAAACGCTATTCCATTCAGCTTGTACATAAACACCTGAGCTTCAAAAGCTACAAAAGGAGTTCGACCTGGTTCGAACGACAAAAGCGACGTTCACATTCAAACATAATTTATAAATATTTATAACATATCAGATCAGCATATTTGGAGACTGTCAATTATCGGGTGATACAGCCCCGTCTCACATCCCTGATCAAACCATTTATATACGTCAATGACCTTTGACAGACATCCGAACTCCAACGTCCGACTTCCAGGTCCTATTGGAGCCGAGCAATGCGCTGCGGGTCCTCAACCGTGGCACGTTCCACATGAAGGCGAGGCACGTGGGCCGGCAGCTTGGCGGACCGTCCGAGCCGAAAGGAGCCGGTCGAAACGGGGCGAAGTCTGCAGCGTGGGCACGGAGCACGGTGGAGCTCCCTGAGGAAATTCATCGTTTTCCGTGACAATCATGGACTTAAAAGGTCTTGGGATGTCTTGGGTGAAGTCTTATGTGGTAATCAGGTGCCTCACAGTGATATGGGCATATTGGATCACGTGAATCCGTCACCGTCGCCCGCCTCTTGCAGCTGTCCAGGCTGAGGAGCAGAAGCAAAGGCTGCAGAAGTCTATGGAAGAGCTTTCTGTGGCAATGCGGTGCCTTTCACTGAAATGGTTCGAGAGGAGGTAGCCTGGTAGCCTCGTAGCTTCTTAAGCTTCGAGATGTTGCGAGTCATCATCCCTAGAAATAAGGAAAACATCGAACATGCAATATGGTTCAATATGTTTGCCTGTCTTTGATATGGAACATGCCACCATTCTTTAGCTCAAGAAGCTGAGGGTGGAGCAGCAGCAACACGTGCGGGCTTCAGCGAGCTTCGGAGCTGAGCGCCACGTCTGCCAATAGTTTTCTTTCCCTTATAGGGCTCCTGGCCCACATCCTCAGTTCAGCGTGGTTGGGGTGGGTGCCAGGGGGGGTCTAGCCACCTATAGCCACCTTTTGAGGATATGGGACAGGAGCGCTAGGGTTCGGGAGGGAGGGGGGTGTTTTTTTTTGGCTTATCAACAAAGAGCCAACATCTTCAAGCGACGGGGAGCTTCCGAACTCCTTGCGTGTTTTTGTTTTTTCTTTTCTCCTCTCAGAAAGTGATCTTGGAGCCGGGTCATGGTGGATTCTGACACAGCCGAGGCTGTCCAAAGACCAGCGGACATGGGACATAAAACATGATAGAATATCACATTGCTTTGCTTTGTGTTTCCGTCATTTCGCCTCTCAAGTGATCTTTTAGAAACGTGTTCTATTTTGTTCCTCCTGTCTCTTTCTCTCTCTATACCTGGACCCTCCAACAGGTCACCACCTGACGCCCTTAAGTCTACACAAGCCACCATTTCGGAGACCTGTTGGTTCTCTCCTGTTCTCTCCACTGTCATCAATCAATCTCGCTTCCCAAAATCAACCCTTTCGGCTCCACCCTCCACACCTCCAGCGGCTCCACCGCCTCTATCCGCCTCTCCAGGTGCGACCACTTCGCGGTGGCTGGGCGGCGAGTCCAAGCGCTGCTGGCGCGCCAGACGACGCTGCAGGCGTCGCAGCTGGAGGCGCCGTCAAGCGCGGAGACGGCGCGGAGAACGTGAAGAGCTAGACAAGATCAACCAAGTCGTCCCAGATAGGATCCACAAGTGGATCCATTGCCACCCTCTGAACAGGTGCTTGGACCCGAAAAGGAAGCCTTCTTATATTAAAGAATCTCCAAGCAATTTGTCAGAGGGTATGTGGATCTCTCTAGGGTATGAGAAGAAGTCGGTTTGAGAAGAAACTCATATACGTCGCGGTGCGTTGAAGATGGGATTAGAAGGGGAGGGAATGTGTTTTGGATTGGGAAAGCCTTGGAAAGCGCCTAAAGGCTCTAGATTGAAGCAAAAGCAAGCCAGAACTTTCAAGCAATTTACAGGATCCATGTATCATTTGCTGATCCAACTTGGACCCAGCAATTCTAGTGTTACAGTGGACAAGCTGAAGTCGCTTCACAGCGGTTACCGCGGCTACCGGGGTGCGGTCGGGAATGTGAGAACACAGCTTGACTCCTAAACCTAGTAGGGCAGACACCCTCTATGCGGGCTGCATGTGCCTTGTACCCACTTTTGCGTCCAGCTGTCTTTTTTTTCTGTATGTAGACCTTTAGACTCTAGACATTTTGTTTTTCGCTTTCCCAGCTATGCCGGCGTTCCTTTTTCTATCTAGCTTTCGTGTCGGTTTTCGGCTTCTGAAGACGCGTTGGGCGGCAAACAGCGTTGCTGTCCCGGACCTGAACCTTTCCTCAGGGCTGGCTGTTCCGGAGACATCTCACAGCTCGAGTGCATGTTTCTTTAGGGAGCCTGTCTTCTTGGGGGGTTGTCATGTAGACTTGACTCCTTTTGCATTGATTTGTGAACTCGGCACTGTCGAGGCCCTTGAGAAGAAGACACGCTTAGACCAGGAGGAGTGGCCTTTGGACGAGCGACGATCTATTTGCAAGACACCAAGCAAAACGCAAAAAAGTCAAAAAGATATAAAGTGAGAAAAGTCAAAAAGTCCAAAAGTCAAAAAGGTAAGGAAACGAAAGCACGCGGCTACTTTCGACTTTTCGACTTTAGTCCACTGGTCACGCGACTGGTCGTTCGATGGAACGCCTGAGAGAGGATCTGGAGGTCAAAACATGCAGCCAGGATTTGGTAGTAGGAACCAGCACCTTCCCTACGGGTCACCTGGCTGGAAGCCCCAACACCACTTAGGGATCTCCAGGAAGGACACCCCTTGAAGGTCCAGGAAGTTGGTCTTGAAGGGATTTGGGGGAGAGTCAATTGGCAGGTTCCATGAGTCACCTCCGGCGTTTGGAAAGGGTGTGCTATATAGTTGCGAGCTAGTCAAGACAAAATATGGAAGCCACATACATGTTGGTCTTGTTGTTTTGCAGAGGGCCAGGGTCAAAAATTATTCCAAGCAAGCTCTGTGTTCAATTCTTTGCTTTAGTGGTCCTACAATCCGTTGCCCCCGCAGGATTGGAAAGAGGAACTGGGGAGATTGGAGAGGCACCCGAGTCGTTCCCATTCAGGTGAGATCCATGCCCAGACCATCCATGGGACTGGCATATGTAGCCACGTTGCTGTTGTCAAGGCCAGTTTCATGGGTGTTTGGGAGGCCCATACATCCAGTATTTGCTGTGGGACCTTTCAGACCTAGATAGTCCGATCCGAGGGGGGCGGTTAAAAGAAGACATGGGAAAACATCGTGACAAGTCGCTAGAGATGGGGAAGAATGACATGAATCATCATGAATCGCATATCTTGTTTCTGCGTTTGGAGAGCCTTCTGTTTCACTTGAGTTTAGGGCCGTTGAGGGAGGCGACAGGATGGGTGGCCAAGTCATCGATTCCAACTAAATGGTAAACGATGCGCTTCAGCGAGAGGAGTTGTAGAAAGTCGAAATTCATGTTGTGCTGCCACATTTTTTGGTGGCCAATGGTAGTAATTAATCAGGATTGAAGGAAGGATTTCCCATAGAAATGGGGAAGGGAACGTAGGGAACCTACGGTAACCTACATGATTCTTTGGGAAGTTCTTGGAGTTCAATCAGTTCCTCAGAGATTGTTTAATAACATGAAATTGCTTTGGTTTGTTTTAAATTTGGACTTTACAGGGTGAAACTAAGCCATGACAGACCAATCTTCCACAGCTGCCACAGCGGCCTCACAGCCCTCCACCTTCTCTGCAGGTACTGCGAGGAAGCGAGGTTGAAGCAGTGCCAAGACGACGAGGTGATTAGCGCGCCACTGGACCACAGCGTGCATCGCTTTTCGCTCTCCACTCGCGAGCGCATGCGAGCGCATCGGGCCCTTGGGGACAAACAGATGCACGATCAGTACACCCGGGAAGATTGACATGGAACCTACAAATGGAACTCTAGAAGACTATTTTCCTTTACAACCCAGTGGTTTTCAGGTTCCATGTTAATTTTCCAGGGTGTAATCAGTATACACATCGATTATGAAGTATGCACGTCCAATCATGAAATGATCATGGGAGTGAAATCATTATCATGTGCATTTTTTACACTTCCATGAGTACGGTAAGTTGTCTTTTGCGGCACTGAGATATGTCAGACACGTGCGTGCGCACCCTGGCGCCGTGGCGCGCCGAATGACGTCAGCATCGTTTCAAATGACTTCTGAGTATTGGATGGTTTGGATGGTGCAACCTGGGTCAGATGATGTAGACTATACAGTTATTGATACATCAAAGGCCCATAGGAAGAGATCTTAAGAAATCCGAGTGGGGGGGGGTCAGTCATCAAGAGTCTACATTAGGTGTCCAAGATCGGATGTTGTGTTCTTTGAGGTTGCACCTTCCCACTGTGTTTTTTCTCACCCTGCGGCTCCCAGCAGTCAATCAGGGCCTCGCTTTGCTGCAAGCCAAGCAGGTGCAATGCCTGGTCTTGGCAAACTGGGCGAAGGGAAGGGCTTCAATATGTTTCAATCCTATGTTGCAAATGGATCTGTCATGTTTGTTGCAATTGGATCTGTCATGTTTTGATATTATGTTACTGTTTCCATCTGTTCGTTTCATCCAAATATGGATATCTTTGTCCGGCGCTCAGCTGGGCGGCCGGCGCGGAGAACAGGTGTTTCGTGTTAATTGATGGACCCCCTTTCTGGAATCAGGGAAGCACTTGGCGAGGGGAGCCGAGGCAGCAGGGTTCCGTGAGCAGAGATTGCCGCACATCAATAATGAATAAATCAGTTTAACAAAGTCAATGTATGCCGTAACAGCACTGATCGACCATGACATATGCATGATATTTTGTGCAAAGGCAGCCCTTGTATTGACCAAGAAAGATGGGCAGCTGATGAAATGTGGCAGGAACACCTGGAGCAGCAGATCAGCAGCACAGAGGCTAGCATCCAAGCGGCTTACCAGGACGATTCCCAGGGGCCCTGCAGGGTTCTGCCGCCGAAAGAATAGCCTTCGGTTAGACGGTTTCCAGATCATCCCAAGGGGTTCAGGCCCGCGAAGAATCGAGAAAAAACAGGTGATGATTTCCTTCCAAAAGGTGGTAACACACACATGTCAACAATCCCTGAGGGACAGACTGGAAGCCTTCAGCACTTCGGCAAGCTTGCGCAAGCTTGTGCCTTTTTGCAAAGCACCGTGTCCAAAACCTCCGATAGGAAGGAAGACCTTCAAATGGATGTGCCTGTCACTTCCCCTGGGATGCATTCCCACGCAGTTTGGATGTGTTCCCTTCAATGGGCCGGGCCGCCTACATAATAAAAAGCAGCAAGGGGCAACGCAAAAAACCCCAAACCCACTTTATCCACATAACTGGGGTCCCTTGTTTTCCATTTGTTGGGTGTACATTGATATATAGGGCTGGGTTTCCAAAGTGGATTGGATGATGTAGGATGATAATATCATTGGATTTGGAGCCGTGCAACTCCAGAACAGAGAAAGCATGATGAAGGAGGGCGGGACGACCTGAGCTGGCGCTCCAACCCGGAACCCGCCCAATTCAGCAGTTGCAGGAGCAATTGGAGCTTACTCTCCGCAGCCAACAAGCAGAGGCAGCGCTCAGCGCTGCCTGCGGTTGCCCGAACGCCCGGATTGGCTTGGACGCAATGAAGGTGGGCTAGCTGGTGGTGAAGAGGGAGCTAAGGAAATGGTTGGGTCCATACTCACCTTGGAACAGGGAGCTGTTCGGAGCTACAGGGAGTTCCACTAACCACTTGCTAGTGGGAAGCCTCTCGTTTTTTGCCTCCATCCTGTTGTCTCCCCCAAGATCGCGCTTCTGTCTCCGCCAGAAATACATTGTACCGAGGTACTCGGCATTTGCATCAGCAGATCATGCACTTGGAGCAGGCAGGTGGAAGCCGACTCTGCCTTTCGCCTATGTTGTGTTCTTCGCCATCTCAACATGTGTTTTCGCCGTTCGCCTTGTTGGAGCGCAGGGCTCGCCACGACGGTTTTTCCAACGTATGACTGTATGATATGTAGTCAGTCAGCCTGTTTCACTGGCGAACTTAAGAGAATCCGATACCAGGACCTCCTATATGAGCGGTTTTGTTACGTATCAATGGCAGCTTTTAGAGTTGATTCGGGGTGTCCATGAACTACCCCTTGTGCGTCCTGGTAGTGCATCCGTTTTACGGTCCTGTGGGGATCTGTGGGGCATCGAGTCGAAGCCGGACAGCTTCCATCGGACGCAGGCAATGCAGAGCAGCAGCCAGGCCCATTCGATGGGGGAGCGGCCCAAGGAAGGGCATCTCATCCGGTGTGACATCTCCTCAGCCGCCCTCAACCTAAACTAAGGACTTGAAGATACCAGTGACAGTTGTGGTAGAAGAAGTAGAAGGAGAAGAAGGAGAAGAAGGAGAAGAAGAAGTAGTAGTAGTAGGAGTAGGAGTAGGGGTAGGAGACGGTTGCTTGTTCTTCGGCAGAGCTTGAGTCTGGTTGAGGCTTGGCAGCGGGGCTAGGCTTAATTGGTCAACAGATGCAATGATTCAGCACAACGCATTGCTTTTGTTCCCGCGCTATTGTTGGGACTGACTACCCCCGGCTAGAGTTGACGTAAATGCAGAAAATGAGTTTGGTCGTTAGCCGATGTAGTGCCATGAACTATTGAATCAAACCCGCTTTTCACCTCTGTGCGCATGCGGACGCTGGCAGTCGGAGCTGGAGAGTGCAAAGCTTGACTCTGAGCACAAGGCTGTTCAGCTGCGGGATGTGATGCAGACAGGTGTATTGCCACCCTGGAATCAGCCTGTAGGCCTTTCAAAAGATGAATGCATGCCTGGGAGTTTGTTTGAGAACCGCAAGCCGCTTTGTTTCATCTGGACTATTCCAGCTTTGCCAAAATCCATTTAGACATGTCAAAGGAGAGAGAGACAGAGAGAGAACAAGTACCATACTATGGTAAGGAAGTGTTCTTGCTTCGATTCATCATCCTCATGAAGAAACATCATGAATTTTGGTACGTTATTACGTTGGGTTCCACCACTGGTGTAGTCACTAGCCTCCACGCCACCCCTTTTCAGAGTCTATTCCGTCTAAGATCGTCTATAGCCGATGACTCTCTGCCAAACGTGACGCTCCGACGATGCCAAGAACGAACCGACAGAGACGCCGCACGCACCGCACCGCTGGCGCGCCAGGCGCACGCCCGGTCCGCCCTGCGGGCGTTGGAGGCCGACGGCCGGCAGCGGCACCTGGAGGCTGGAGGAGCCGAAGAGGATCGAAAGGAGGGGTTGGAAAGGAGAAGACCCATCTATAATCCCATGATCCCTCTATAGAATGAGGGGGAAATGGATGAAGATCCATTGCTTTGGCTTTTTGAGACATTTGAGCTGTGGGTTTTGGATCCACTTGGAGCCAATTTGGAGCCTGATACGTGATCCATCAAGAGAGCGGAACGAGCGGTAGGTCAAGCAAGGTCTCCCGGATTTGACCCATAGCCGCTTGGATTCCTTATGGGAAAAGCTGTGATGTGGAAGGAGTGCTTGGTTGGCTCCATTTGGCTCATACATTTGGACTGGACCCTGATGTAGTGAAGCTCTAGGTGTGGCGCAGCCAAGTTGGGAGGGTGAAAATGGGTCGATTTTCCATGCCACTGCTGCATCCTTTCATGCCACCGAGATGTCCATGGCGCCCGAAGTCATGCGAGTTTTGGCAGGGCTCCCCTGCCTTTGAGTCAGATGGCGATCTTGGTTTCCATCTCAGACACTCTTGGAGAAGCTCCTGCTGTGGCCTTTTTTGGTGGCTCAGATCGCTCAATTCCTAGGGGTCAGGGGAGTCAGTCATTCCAGGCAGCATGTGACTCGTCATCGAATGTCCCAAGAGGAGTTGTCCCATCTGGGCAATTCCTTGGCACAACATGGCACAACGGATCCTGCAAATGTTGGCACCTGCATCGGCCTTCGACCAGTTTTTTTGGGTGGGAGATCATCCCACATTTCTGTTCACGGTCTCTTAGCTCTAAATCCATCAAATCTGGTGGAATCTGGTGGTGGATTCAAAGGAACCAAAGAAGTAGCCCGAACACCCAGAAACATCTTTGAGCCTGGAGCATCTTTGAGCGTTCTGACCACATCATGTAGGAGGAGATCACATGATGATCATGCCAACTTGCTGTACAGGCTCTATCCGCCAAGTTGGAGGAGGGGGAGCAGGCAGTGCCGCGATGTTCACTCGCGTGGGGCGCTTCGCGTGGGGGTGCGGCCTCAGCTTCGCCGGGCGATCCAACTGGCGCACAAGAACGGCACAAGAACGGCACGCCAACACACCTTCCCGGGCAAAGATCGGCGTACAGCACGGCGACAACACGGGGGGTACTTAAGCACATCCCTTTGATGATCTTCATAGATCACAAACGGGATGTGCTTACCCCGTGATGGCTTGATCTCAAGCATGGGGTGGTCCTGATCTTGATGGCTTTGGGTGATCTCGATGTGATTTTTCTGTGGCATCCAGCGAGGGTCGGAGACGAAGCCGTCGTGCGGTGCAGATGCACATTTCTTTTGTTCTGCTTGGATCCCGAAGAGGGAGGGCACACCTAAGGCATCCGGATAGGCCGAAGGAGAATGCTCCGTTGGCTCGATCTACGGGGTTTGGGTAGTGCTCAGCATTGCCATTGCACAGATGAGCAGAAAGCAACAGAGTGTCACGAGTATTTTTGGAGTATTCAACCGGGGGGTTCGACACCAGTTGCACGTTGGGTTGCAATCCTGTTTGCCTTCACACCCTAATGGGGCCGGCCGTTCAGGGAGGGCGGTGAAGCATAAAGGGACGATTTGACATCCTGAACCTTCAAAGGGGTGTTCAATGGAGATCCACAGCTTTTTTTGGGGGGTGGGGAGAGGTACTCCATTGGAGACCCCTTGGAATGTGCTGGACGAGTTGACGAACTTTGGGTGGAGCAAACCACAGCAAACCGTTTGGTGATGTGTTCGTTTAGGGGGGCTCATGACTCATGCAGGTTCATGCGGTGTAGGGTATGATGGTTAGTGGCTATTCACTCCATATTCCTCATAAACGGGCCAACTTACCTGCAGACCACATGATGTTTGATCGTTGTGTTTCTCGATCTTGGCAGAACCCCGGGTCCTGCAGGGTTTCATAGTCATAAGCTCACCTGCTTTTTCAGGTCATCCGCACTCTGGATGTCAAGTTGAATGAGGCGCTGTCCTGCTCGGGTGCAGCCAACACGGGGAATTCCTTTGGATGATGTTGGATGATGTGAGCATATCAACACTCCATGTTTCCCCCTCACGTGTGCGAAACACGTGTGTCAATCCGTGGTGGTGTTGACCAGAGCATACGCTCGAAGGGTGGAAGTGGTGTGATTTCGATCTCATGTAGGCGGTATGTAAGGGCCAGAGTTGAATCTGCTTTCGACACGAGGGTGATTCAATACTATAATACCCTCCTGACAAGCTCACGTTGGACCTAGCCGCCCTTATATTAGAGCATGTGACACATGTGGCCCACCTTTGCAGACTATCACGTGCACGCCTAGCTCAGGTCTTATTATACATGTTTCATTATACGTATTCTTTTTTATAGTTTTTGCGGGGCAGTGGATTTGCTCAGAAGTAATTCAGTGGTGCTTGGTCCTGACATGGTTTTCAGGGCAACCTGGTGTTTCGAAGGCCGCCAGACGTTCCATGTTGAACACCGCCGCAGCTCCGGGCAGGAGAATGCCCAGTGCGACCAGTTCACAAGCCACCTGGCTTTACATGGGCTGCCCTGTCTTAGAATCTTCTGACTTCGCATGAAGAGCAATTTGGATGAATCAACATCCATGATTTGGAACAGATCAACCATTTATCACCTACTCCTTGTGATTTTGCCATGGTTTGGAACAGCCTGCCGGTCGTGGCCCATGTTCCCCCCTTTTCAAACAGGTCAATTCCGGTGGACCCGGAAGGGGCAAGGCGAGTCCGCTACATGTCTGAAATAAAATAGAGCTAATATATACTATATACTATATACCGTACATAATACAATGAAGACATACTTGCGATTATATCATATAGTTTTCCAAAAAAAATATAGCATTTAAATATATCAAACTGCTATATCTCATTCCATTGATTTCCATTATATGTTATTTCGATCCACTATAACCAATTATTAACCATCAATTTAACTATTATTTGTGACATCACCCAGTTGCTCGGAGCAGCCTTCCCGCTAACCCGGTGAGGTGAACTCTCGGAGCTGCGCCGGTCGCTGGGAGACCTACAGGCCGGGCGCCGGTGACACCGCTGAGCTGCGGCAGAGCCTGCTGAGCTGTGGTGATGTCCAAGTGGCTGTTTTTGGATGAGTGAAGTTTGGGCTCACGTGAGAAACATCATCAATTATAGACTCATTCCAACTGGCTGTTGTCCAACTGGCGGTTGTCAGGGGTCATGAATGACCAACATATCGACGCATTTTTCATGTCCCAATTTGGAAAGGGGTGTTGGTGTGAATCACTGATCAATCTTTTCAATTGGAGGAACCGAAACATGTTGGCCCGCCAGCGGAGTAGCAGCTGCAGGTGTAGCTGCAGCCATGCGTTTGACATCTTTAAACCAATTTGATAGCATAGACTACTGTGGTAGACCAGTGCGTTTGCCCTACAAATGGGAGATTCTAGTGTAGTCTTGCGTAGTCTATGCAATTAAGTCTCCACTTAGGTTGCCGTCATTTTGCATTAGATGGCACAGATGCCCCAAATGAAGCCTGGTTCGATGGGGGTGCGCAACCAAATTGAAATAGCACAGCACTAGGGGTTGGTGCAAATTCTTTTGAACCCATTGCAGTTTGGTGAGGTTGCCGGTTTCCACATGAGCGGTCGCCAGGATGCATGCCAAAGTCAACAGGAGAGGGTCTTCGGAACTAGCACAAGGGGGTGCTAGTTTCGCAGTCCGACAGGGCAAGGTTAGAAGTGTGCCATGGCTGCCCAGAAGTAGGTTTTTCAGTCTAAAATATTGCATAATTTCTTGAAGGTGTCACCCTTGGTCATCCAGGGTTTATTTGTTTGAATTTTGTTTGATTGTGTTCAATTCTTCATAATTTTGCTCCGAAGATTTGATGATAGTACTGTTTCATGCCTTTTGGTGTGCGCGGTGCACCTGTCAGCCATTTTTCAGCAATGGCTTGAGTGGTAGGAGCCTAGGGCTGGTACTAACAAACAACAAAGCATCATGGTTTTATGGTCGGCCGGAGGCATTTCTGTATCCAAAAAACACTGGATCACCCGAACGACTCACAACTGAGATTTCGTGGTCGAGTCTGTCACTCCCACAGCATTTGCAGGGCGGTTCCTTCCGCAACACCCGACGGACTCCGAAAGCCACTTTTGATAGAATGGCCGACCTGGAAAGAGGGGTGGGTGCGTCTGAAAAGAAATCCCCTCCCGGCCTGGAAAGACGAAAAAAGACTCCAAAAGCCACCACCGGGTCACATCATTGTATATATATATATATTGAATATATATATATATATGGTTTAATATTGTTAATATGTTTATAGTTATTATATACCCCCAAAAAAACACATGTAAACAGGCTCTCCCCTCCCTTTAGACGAGTTCGACCCGGTGATCAAACACCTTTTCTGCATTCGGACGACACCGCGGAATCCGCGGCCGATGCCTGCACGGCAGGACGAGCTGGTCGCTCAGCGCAGAAGCGCTGGTGGTGCTGTGACCGAGCTCCAGGCGGGGTTGGAGCCGGAGGAGGTGCAGTCCGGCACTCTTCATCGTTCAATAGTTCCTCAGTTTACCATTTCTGACCTCCAAGTCCATAAGTGCAGTTCTTCAAATACAGGACTACTTATACCATCACTGGTTATCAAGTAGGGTTGGGTTTTTCAAAGTGATTTTCTTCAACACTTGTGCTAAAATGTGGTGCCCAGTTTTGGGGTACTTGAGTGGCCTTTAATACTTAAACACCCCATGGTGTTTCATCCTCGGATGGCCGTTCACCAAGTCGGCAGGTGGACTGCGAGCGTTTGTCCAGCGAGGTGGCGGACGTGGAATGGGAGATCAACAGGTGGGGCGTGCGGCGGTGGAGTGCGGTCCCATCCACCGCTCCAAGAAGCGCAGGTCCGTCGCAACCAGCTTCGGCTGAGGTCTCAAGCGACCGAAGATCCTTTGCGATCTCAGATAAAATTGGAAGGTCCTGGCACTTCACATCCTCTTTTTCCCACATGGTTGGATAAGTCAACAGGGTCACGGGAATGCTTTTTGCTGAAGCGGTTTTGGCTTAGTGACTACTCGAAGGAGTTTGGATTGAAAAGCGCCATCTTGGTATGCTGCCCCATTCAGCTCCCTCTCTCATTCATCATTCATCTTTCATCATCGCCCTCTCTCTTAGCTCGAGGCTTGAGGAGCACCGTGCCCTCCTGCAGCGTCTCTGGCACGACGGCGCCCGGCGCCTCCAACGCCGGGCCGGTGACGGCGAGGTCCGCGGCGAAGAGGACGGGCGTTCGAACAGCGCCAAAGTGAGTGCGGAGAGCCTTCAACGCACGTTGAGTCGAGAGTCCCAACTGCAAGGTTGGGCATGTTGAAGCAGGCACTGAACAACATGCCCAACCTTGCAGTGTTTGCGCTGGGAGTGGTAGACGAATGTGATTGGCCTGGTTGACCTGGAGTTGACCCGTTTTCTGAGAGCGGAATCGAGGGCGAGACTTGGAGGATTGAAACCCTGGTGTTTAGAAACACGGGTCAACTGGAGGGGGTATCGGTATAGGGCTTAATATGGTTGAATGCGCTTGGAATTTGAATGATCCACCTAATTATGCAACATGTCAGGTGCTTGCTTCCATATAGTCTCTAAGTGAGATGAGATCGAAAAGAAGCACCTGAAGATGAATGGGCCGCTCATCTAAATGTTTGACTGAGCTGGCGCAACATGTCACCTGAAGACCGAAATCCAGGAGAAGCTCCATTTGCTCAAGCTGCAGCTTTCGGGCATGTTGGAACAGGAGAGCCAGTTGCGCTCAGAGGCCATGCATGCATTGCGACACGCGCGACCGTCCATGGCAGGGCATGTTGGACATATCATATCATACTTTTTTAGGCCTTGGCACCATGTCTAGGCGGTGTTTTATGTACCTGAACCATGCGCGATTCTGCTTCCTGGAAGACGCTGGCGGTATGAGGCATTTTTTCAACTTTCACCTTGCTTCCTTTTCAATCACCAGAAATGTCAGACAGTCATGTCATTGTAGTTTGGGCAGGGTGTTGGGGTGCTTTCGTGATACCCATGCCACAAACAACTCAACCTCATGCGGCAGCTTTGAATAGATGCAGTTTCCTAGAAACTGCAATGAAAGCCCGCGTTCTTTGCAGCCATGTGGTTGATGCTTGCAGTTCAATTTGTTAGCTGCATATATTATATTTGTTGGTCAAGAAAGTAGCAATGTTTTTTTCGTATTGGGGCTCAAATATTGCTACTTGTCAAACATTGTCAAGAAAGTAGCCCCAATATATTTGATTGTTAGATCGTATTGGGGCTCCTTTGTCGGCTGATCGCCCAGGAGAAAGAACACGCGATACGATTCACGATGGTTGGTTTTTCTCGGACTGGCTTTCGAATGCGCATGTAGCATTCGAATTACCCCGGGCCACAGCCTGTTGCATGACTTGAGAACTGACCTTTGCTTGTTATGAATTGCTCGATGGTCAGCTTCCCGCTCTCACAACATAGCACCATCGCCGCTGTGGCCATCGTGGATGGCGCAGCCAGCATTTGCTTCTGCCAGCAGTTGCTTTTCCAACTGCTACCCTGCTATTGTGCTCAGCAGAACTCTTGTGGGGAGGAGATATAGACACGTTGGAGTCGGGCAGATGTGCCCAACACAGAAAGCACGGTGTTGGACGCTGTTCACAGAAAGCAGGGTGAATGTTTGGGGCTTCTCAACAGCCCAAAAAGGGTCGTTGGTCCTGCGCAGAATCCTCACGTGCCGAATATGTTTGTGACTGAAAACAGTTACGAGATCATCACACCCGCACTGCGGAGAGTGTTTTGCCTACGGATGTTCCAGTTCGCAATCACTTGCCACCTTGCAGTACCTCCGAGTATCTCCGAGTACTGTTGCAGTCGGCAGCTGGCAGGCGGCAGCTGGTCGTCAGCAAGTTGCATCCAGCAAGGAGTGGGACCAAGGGATATTTGGGAGTGTATTGCACCATTTGGAACATGTCTTTACATTTATATAGTTATTCTTTTTATGTGTATATCTATTTATATATATATATATACATGGTATATCACAAGTGGCTTGGTCCAGGTGGTCTTAAGGTGCTGTGGCCGGTTCCTCGGAATACTTGTTGGAAGGCCGCTTACATGAATTGCAAATAGGGCAGATTGGATCCAGTTGAAAAGATCAAATCATGGGGTGAACTTTGATTGAAAACAACATCGTGGGGTCAGTTTCGGATTGCCATGCAGGAGGAGCTTTTGGTGAAACAATCGTTTTGCGAGCGTCCGCGCGCTAAGACTTGTTTAAGATCGATTTAGCTTTTCAGGGGAAGCTAAAACACATGCTTGGTAGATCTTGGTAGGGGACATGTCAACGCACTATATACTGTAGTGTGCAGAACCTATCCAAGTTGCCAATCTTCAATACGGTTCTGAAGATGCATTTTTGGCTGAGGACAAACATTCCAGTGGTGTGGTGCAGAATGAAACCTTCACCCAACAACAACAACAACAACAACAACAAACAGTTTAAGAATGTCTCACATGGCGGCGGTGATCACAATTTAAGAATGCCTGCAGGCTCACATCAGCCTTCCTGTTTTGGTGGGTGTTCCCAGTCGGACCTGCCCCTTCCTGTGACGGCTTTCATGTCGGCCAGTTGGAGCAGAGCGGGCGGTTGAAGCAGAAGGAACTCCTCAGAGCTCAAGAGATCGCTGAGCCCGGCAGCCGAGTTTCGGGGGGGAATCAGGCAAAATGGACACCTAGTGGCGCAAATGGACACGCCAGGTTCCCTGGTTTGCATAGAGGTTGGTAACATCTTCCATCCTCTCGAAATTAGGCCTGAGCAAGTGCTTGACAATGTATACGGGCTACTGTAGTTGCAAGGAATTTGGAGCACATTTGAAAGATTCGATGGCAGCCCTTGACCTCAAAAGCATTCTCCTTGAGCCTTGAGCTTCCTTTTTCCAGCCAAGTGCACCTGAGGCTTCGGCTCCGGTTGAAAGAAGAGACCGTGGCCAAAGAGCAGGCCGGAACCGGAGAAGAACCGTGGCTTCGACCCTGGACCCGCATGGCATGGCGCGTTCGCGGCGTGGTGACTTCCGGGTTGACGGATGAGAGCTTCGAACCAAACAATGTTGTTTATATATCAAACGAGCCTAGAATCGCAACCGCGGAAGTGTTTGGAAGATAACGAGCTTGAAGTAATAAGCAAGGAGCTTCTAAGTTATAAGATGAATGGTTTCTGACTGGGACCCAGAAAGAGGTAAGCCATGGTAAGCCGAAAAGAGAAGTCTTGCTTGGGCTTCAGACGAGCAACGGACGAGCGAAGAGATCCGTGCGTCCTGCGTCCGTCCTCAAGAGCTGTGAACGTCCAGCGTCCACGTCCAAGCGCGTCGTTATGCGCAACGGCGCACAGAAAAAGCACGAAACACACACCCCATGTTTTTCGTTTTTTGCATGGTTGGATTATGTTGGGTATTTGTGGTGCTTGATTTCGTTGGATTTGTAATGCCAGGAGTTCCAACCAACATATACAACACAAACATGTGCGATCAAACTAAACATGATCCAAGACCTTTTTGGGGGGAGTGGATTTTCCATAGTTCAACAAATGGCAGTTGGTGGAAAGCATCGTGATCTTCATGGTTTGGTCCGTTCGCCCCTCTTGGTCGACGACTTGGAATGTCTCCAGGCCCAAGAAGAGCTGAAAGTAGCTTCCCAAGGCGACCTGGTCATGCCATGGCCTCTGCCCGGGTGACGGGCTTTGGACTCGATGCCGCTGACGATCCAGTTTTCGTCCTTCTGATCCGAAAAGCGTTGGGAAGATCGACACCTGTGTGGCCCAGATGAGGCCAAGGAACTGAATTAGCTGATTGGGTGACGCCACTGGCCGTTGTTTTTTTTGGCCGGCCTTGACAAATCCCTGCAGGCCGTCAGGGTTCGGGATGTAGTATCATTATAGTAAGATACAAATGATACATGTATATAGAGGTGAAAGATTGTGGAAGCACACCGAAGATGGATAGTGTTGGAACCATTTTGCCAGATTCATGCCTCATCCAAGGTTCAAGAAAACCGAGGAGCCATGGGCAGAGAAGCTGGTCAAAAGTCGCTGAAGTGGGGAAGCTACTGAATACATGAAACGCTGGGCTGTGGCATGGCTTTTGGCAGCACATTCTGCTGTTCAAGTCAGACACAGAATCTATGCCCCATGCGATGCCACTGTTCACCACAAGAGATGCCGCGCAGTCCCGACAACCAGGGGCAAATAAAGTAGAAGGATTGAAACATGAACCAAATTTCAGGGAAGAAACGTGGAGGATCCCATTAATTTCCTTGCTTTGCTTCCTGTTTCACAGTTTGACAGTTAGCAGTTTCCATCAATCTTCACAACCGCATCCAACTGTGCATCCAACAGCACACATGTCCATGGAACCCTTCTCATCTCGCTGGTTTCATCTTGGAACCCCAAAGAAGATCCCCAAAAAAACCTGGTCGCCGTGCTGGGGCCAGGAGTTGTGCCTGCAGAAAGTGGACGCTGCACGGCGCAAGAAGGGAACCGTCCAGGAGCCGTCGCGCGTCGGACGTTGGCAGGTGGCGGGGTGGGCGGTTATAAGCAGATTCATGTGGATGAATCAACCCCCCCAGAATGTGAAGATGGTATATAATATAATACCCTCAGAGTCCTGGTCCTGATTCCTCAGACATTCCGAGGACCCTACTTTTTCAGGTCCTGGACCGCCAGGGATACACAATTCTTTCAGAGCGATTTATGTATCAATAGCCTTTTTAAACATTTGGGTACTGCACAGATGTGTGCATGCAACTGTTGTCCGCACACCATCGTGCACCGTATCCATTGCCAAGCCTTTTGGAACCCTTTTTTGCTCAAAAGGGATCTCAAAAAAGTGAAGAGTTTCAATCACCAACCCGCCCTAATAACAAGAAACTACTACGTAGGGGCTCCTAGCCTTACTACTAGGAGCGATCGGACGCTACGAACGGGGCTCCTGGTCGTACTACTATAGTAGCATTCTTGCCGAACTAGGCTTCTTAGTGGGCTCCGAACTAGGCTCCTGGCCGTACTTACTCGGTTTTCTGGTAGGAGCGTAGTCAATGTGACTCACATCTCCACCGTCTCACCGCCATAGCCGGCGCACGGCTATACGGCAGGAGAGCCGTCGCAAAGCCCTGCAGGCTGCGACCGAGGCACGGCGCTGTGTTGTTGGTCAGTGACGGGCGGGTGACGGGCGCTGACAAGAAATTGACTTGACTTGTGATATAAGTATATGTCTCTCTGTCCCTGCAACCACTGCCAAAATATACTCCTTATGGATCCACTGCCACCTTCTCAGAAGGCAATTGGACCCTCCTGGC